TCCCCAGTGAATTAACTATTTCCTAGTTAAATACCTTTAATATCTTTCCTGTATATTTTGCGTAATAGAACATTTAATTGACTTTTAATAGTTAATAAAATCTCTGTAAATCAGCAATAACTGTGTGTGTACCATCCAAGATGGCTGCCATAGATTCAGCCAATCAAATTTCGCCTGAGCACTGTCATTTTCAATGGCGCCCTCAATTTACACAGAAAGTTCAGTAATTTGAAACTCGAGCGTTGCGGTGATGGGTGTAATGCATAGAGCTATTAAACAACTAGAGTGCTGACAAGATGGCGCAGCAATGCAGAGTTGTGTATGTGTACCATCCAAGATGGCCGTCGTATTAAAGTGCCACCTTCAGGCTTAGTATACATATTATTACATATTAATAAGCCCTCTGACTGACTATTATTTCATTAATGATGAGTAATGGTAATAACAAATTATTAAACTATTGTAGCCAAAACGAGGCCAAGTGAAGCATCTTATTCAAAAATAAAGTACCAAGGAATGAAAATTAAAATCGTATACATTACACCCAAACACCGCAACGCTCGAGTTTCAAACATACAGGTAACTAGCTGTACTGAACTTTCTGAAATTGAAGGCGCATTTGCAAACGATGGCGCTTAGCGAAATTTGATTGGCTAAATCTATGGTAGCTATCTTGGATGGTACACACACACAGTTTTGCGTATTTCGAACATCGAATACATTGCGGTTAGCGCTCTAGTATTCTTATTATACCTCTATGGTGTAATGTGAAAAAATATTTAGTCAGATGGCTTATTTATGGTAATATGTATACTAGCCTGAAGGTGGCGCTTTCCTACGGCAGCCACCTTGGATGGTACAAATACACAACTCTGCATTGCTCCGCCATCTTGTCAGCACTCTAGTTTAATAGCTCTATAATATCTATTCAAACCATAGAGCTATTAAACAACTAGAGTGCTGACAAGATGGCGGAGCAATGCAGAGTTGTGTATGTGTACCATCCAAGATGGCTGCCGTAGGAAGGCGCCACCTTCAGGCTTAGTATACATATTATTACCATAAATAAGCCCTCTGACTGAATATTATTTCATTAATGATAATTAGTATTGATAATGACAAATTATTAAACTGTCGTAGCCAAAAAGAGGCCAAGTAGAGCATCTTATTCAAATATATTAAAAAGAATTAAAATCGTGTACATTACAACCCATACACCGCAACGCTCGAGTTTCAAAATACGGGTAAACTAGCTGTACTGAAATTTCTGTGTAAATTGAGGACGCAATTGAAAATGACAGTGCTCAGGGGAAATTTGATTGGCTGAATCTATGGCAGCCATCTTGGATGGTACACACACACAGCTCTGCGTATTTCGAACATCAAATACATTGCTGTTAGCACTCTAGTATTCTTATTATAATATCTCTATGATTCAAACTAACCGAGTCACGAGTTGTTGGGCAAATTTAAACAGCGCCCTCCTATGGGCGGCCATTAGGGCCAAAATAGACAAATATATTACATGTAAATATTTTTTTTATTTTATTCCCCGACAAAATTTACTCGTCTTCCCCGATGGGAGGGGGGGGGGCCTATAGCCCCCCAGCCCCTCCATCGCCACCACTGGTCTATACAAAGGAGGAGAGAGGGAAGACCATCAGGGATAGTTTCGTATTGCCTAAGATTTATATAAGGTAAGGTCATATGATAAGAATGAATTTTAAAATTCACAAGCTGGCATAGACAGAATTAAAACGACTTTGTTTATGTAAAACTAGACAAGTAATTATCTCAGACTGCTTAGAATTGCCTCAAAAGGCTTGAGAGTGCAATTGCAAATTTATTCATTAAAATCGTCTTTTACAACCTTCTAACATTATGACAGGTTCAAAAGATTTTAGTGTCTTGGTCACTAATAATGCTTTCTTCTTTGAACAAATTGTTGTAACTTTCAAAATTAAATTATTATTAACATTGATACTGTTAATGATTAAATAAATGTCAAATAAGAAATTAAGTTCTGCATTCAGCATGATTATTTTTCAGTAAGCACCAACATTAATAAGTGGCGTGGTACATATTCAAGCCCGTAGCCAGGATTTTGGTAGGGGGTTCTTTTTGGTACTGAAAGGGCACTTGCGACCACCATTGGCTAGGGCCAGGGGGGCCGTCAAGGGCCCCCGGGGATCCAGGGCCAAAACCCAGGTGGGGGTCCAGCATTCTAAGCATTTACAGGTGTTATTTAATTGACTTGAGAGGCCATACATTAAACAAAATGTATATATTAAAGAGGTAATTTTTTAAGTTGGGAAAAGATAAAAAACAAAAAAAAAAAACTACTACTTTAGTACTACAGTATAGGTAATTCAACAACAATAGCATGATACAAACTCCAAAGACTCCAGTATGATTTATTCTTTATTTATACTATACTTACGGTATACTATACCCACTTAAGACAATCAATAACAAAAAGAACCGAGACAAATTTGTATGGTTGGTTGTATTATAATCATATATATATAAATACACAAGTGAAACTATCCCCCGCCGGACACCATCCCGGTATTTCTGAGTCAAGGCTTTGGGGCCTGAATTTTTTATGTTACTAGGTAGGCCAACCATCGGGTATTAAAATAGGACTTTTAATGATGATAGGCTCTAGGCTAGGCCTAACGTGTAGGCTAGCCAGCCTTTGTTGAAAGGGCACTTCATGAAAAGGGGGGTTCGTTCGAACCCAACGAACCCCCTTGGCTACGGGCTTGATATTAGAGATACCCGCTCCTCATTGCTCTTGAATGGGCACTCAACTGGAGCCCTAAAAAAAGGTGAAAATGACAAATGGTGATGTAATTTTAATACTAATGTATTTATAGATAAGCACTTGTCATAAACAGTGGCATAACGCCTATGCACTCTCGTGTGGCGGTCCACAGGGCCCCTGGGCCTAGGGGCCCACCCACATAGTCCTTGATCTATCACCCTGATCAAAAAGAGTTTGTTTATACATAACAGCATATAAGATTTGTCTCTGACATCGACTGTAGGACATATATTTATAAGTGTGGCAGATTAGAGGGTGCCTAGACTTGCCACAAGTCTCTTATTTTTTATTATTTTTCTCATTCTGGACAGCGCCACCAACGAGAAAGTTAATTTAGAGACGGAATAAGCGACTTGTAAAACACTGAAATCAGGCACCAGTATGCCAAAAGAATGACGTAATCTTATATTCCATATTTGGATAAATGGGCGGACCGAAATAAACAATTTCAACCAATCAAATGTTCATATTTTTGGAGCCACGAAACTGAGTCACTCGCGTCGACTAGTTAGGCATGACTAAATTTAAATAGTCCTCCCTAATAAAACGGGCCTAAACTATTTAGAATAGACCCTAGTAAGACTAATGTTGGCAATGGCAAAAACAATTAAGCTTAGACTAGATGGCATACCATACAAATACAACAAACTTTAACTTCCAGTAGGATGGCTCAGGCCTCGCCTGGAGTCAGGTAGTAGGCCTAGCCTAGACTAGTAGAGGCTTGGCCTATTTTTAAGTTCTTACTTACAGAGGCCTACCTTTTTAACAATATTCTACCCTAAAGGCATAAATCTGTGTAGCAGCTAGCGGTGAGCAAGGTTCCAAGTAGTCCTATAGCCTACGGTTATCAGTCCATGTCGTTCTTAGCATGCAGGCCAGAACTATTTTTATTCAAGTAGGTAGCCAAAAGGGAGCTGGAGCTTGTACTAGTCGAGACATCCGCATCTTCAATTTTGAAAATTTACCAAGATTGATTAATATGCATGAAGAGCCAATCACGTGATTTACAAAATCAGTCATGCATACGATATCCCACATCAAATTTGATGTGGGAAATTGCACGCATGAATCTAGCCTGGGTTCCAAGCCCTAATTTTAGGTTACTCACTCTTTATTGCAATTAGTGCGCGCCATACCTAATTTAATTGGCGTCCCATACTCGATTTCTTTTTTTTCGAATTAGGGCCTGGGTAGTAGTACGGAAGCTTAAAGTGACCTTCCGCGTTTCCGAGTTTCCAAGATAATTATCATGGAAACATGGAATAAATACTTATTAAGACGTCTTTCCGAGATAATTTATCTCGGAAAGACGGATTTCCGAGAT